CGTCGGCGCTTGAACGGCGACCGAGCGAAAGCGTCCGACTTCACCTGCTCCGCGTCGAAAAAAAATTCCGCCGTGCCAGACGGCCGCGGATCACCGGCTGATGTCGCGGTTGGCTTCCCAGCTCTTCCCGCCCGTTGCCTCGCCGCTCCCCCCAAAGTCAAAGAACGGGTGCTTGAGCGAGTCGGCGAGAAGCAGCCTCTTGGAGGGCTCATACTCCAGCATGCTTTCGATGAGGTCAAACAACTGGTGGTGCTCCTCGGCCTCCGAGAGCAAGTATCGCTGCAAGGGCACAAAGAAACTCCATCAGTTCACCGCCGCAACGAGGAGGCGATGCGTTCTTTTCCCCCCCCCCCCCCCCCCGCTCTCACCCGGAGAGGTTTGCAGTTTTCCCGGACGTACTTCCCCGCTGAGGAGCTCTCGTCCCAGTCAAGACGGCCTCGGTAGAAATACTTCTGCTTTCTGGAAGGGGGGGGGGGCACAAATGACAACAGAAGGTGGTCGGATCATCGTTTGCCAACACTTATCGCTCGGTTGAATCCGTTTTGCTTTTTGGACCAAAAATACTTCGGGTCAGGTCAGGGTTTAGTAGTTTGAAGCCTTAAAAAAAAAACAGATGTCCATTCTTTTATATATTTTTAAAAAAGAATGTTCATGTGTATTTCTCAAAGCCCCCCCCCGCGCCCCCCAATTTAGAAGTTCTTTTGTTAGTTCTCGTTAACGAGAGTAACGAGCGTTGCCCGCGTGTCTTCCAAGCCTTCCTCCTGAGCTATGAAGCGTGCGCAGCAAAGGTGTCGGGCGGGCCTTCCGCAGCCGGCAGGGGCGGGCGCGGTTCTCACCTGGTCTTGCGGATCATTCTGGATGGCACGGGTCCAAGGATCCTCTCCATCATGGCCAAATGTTCCCTGTTGTCATGAGTCTGAGAAAAAGCGATTCGAAAGGACTCAAAAAGGCTCTTCACAACATTTATATGTCCGTGGCGAATGAACTGAAAGCGAAACAGGCTAGCTTTGACGAGGGATTGTTTTTTTTTTTTCTTGATTATAAACGTTACTTGCCAGACAAACCCGCAAAGTATTTGGCGACGTGACCACATTCATCATATTGTCCAAGATGATCCAAAGCTCCCGTTTAAATGACTCCCATTTACACAAAGTATACATACAACATTTTGCTCTTGATATTGAATTAAAAAAAGACAGGTTGCGCGTACCTGAAACAGGGTGAAGCCCAGGTAGTACTCAAACAGGATACAACCAATACTCCAAACGTCACAAGGATGGCTCCAGCCCATTTCTAGACCACCGAAAACAGAGAGAGAACACCCCGTCTATCACAACGTGTCCCGGTGCACAGCAGACCGCCACTCAACCCAACGGACGATTTCCAGAGCCCTTTCGAACAACCACCGCTGCATACAAACAAGTCAGACAACGACAAACCACAAAAACAGTCCAATGGCAAATATCGGATCGAAAAATGACAAGTTGTCAAGATGGGCAGCGGGTGGCTGGCCGAACGTTCATTCCAAAGAGGGGGAGCGGCCACGAAAAATGCTCTATACCCTTGGACGCGCTACCTCTAATCGTGTCCGCTAGGCACGCAGCTGCGAGAGCTAAGGCGGGGCCATGCCATTTCAAGATTGGGAAAACAAATTCGAGGATCTTCTTCAAAAGAACTCGATGGGGAGCCGGTGAAGGGACGCCAGATCAGGGGTGACGCGCTCCTGCTGAAGAGCAGCGGTCCAGAGGCGAGCGGCGGCATTCGGGACCTACTGGACACGCTTCGTGGAGGATCGAGTGACTCCAAAGTCAAGTACGTTACCGTCATCCGGCCGAGAGGTGACCAATCGGGATCAAATGACAACTGAGAAAAAAAGCCTTTATTCATCAGCGATGCACATTTCCTCTTGGGCGTCTGGACAGCCAATTGAATTCAGCTGAAAGAAGCGACTTTCAACAAGCGAGTCGTCCTCACCTAAAATGACCTCGGGGGCTCGGTAATGCCTGGTGGACACGATAGTGCTGTGATGCTCGTGGTCAAAAGTGGCGCTGCCAAAGTCCACCACACGTACAGCTGTGCTCTTAACCGTCCTTTCTTCTCGTTTCTGCCGCACAAAAAAAAAAACAGGCTATCAATGCAGTATTTCTTCACCATCTTAAAAACTTCTCCCGCATCATACCTTCTCCACATTGTAGGACATGGTAAAATCCGAGTTGACAAAAAGGATGTTCTCTGGCTTGAGGTCTGTGTGCGTCAGCTTATTGTCATGGAGAACTGCGAAGCGGGACGAGAAATATGCCGCCGTTAGCGCCATTGCTTTGACAAGAGCGCCGTACTTGCACGAGCCGCTACGGGCTGCGGCTCTCCACCGCGCGCGGGAAAACGGATCGATGTTGCACACGGTGCGATTGCCTCCTTTTCTTTGCGCAAAATGAGAATGACGTTTGAACTTACACTTGACAGCCAGACAGACTTGGTAGGCCATGTGTCTGACTTGGCCAATGGAGTACGGCAGGTAGTTGTTCTCTTTGAGGAAATCGAAGGTGCTGAGCGCAAGCAGCTCAAAGGAGATGCACATGTGACCGTGGTAGTCAAACCAGTCGTACATCTGCACGCACAGGCTGCGAGACAAACAGCGCGCGCGCGCGCACGTCAATGCCCGACCACTGATGGCGGCAATCGCTCCAGCCGCAACTCACTATTTATTTTCGGGGTCCTTCTCGTTGATCTTCTCCAGCACGTTGATCTCCAGGCGAGCCGCTTCCTTGTACTTTTCCACATTCTTGATAATTTTCAAAGCAACGCTGGATGCGCCTCTGAAAAATGAAAAAGCTTCAGCCAAATTCTTCGGAGAAAACCCCAACTTGTCTCGGCCGTCTTCAAACTGGTAGCCGCTGTTAGTAGTAGCAGCGAGGCGGCCATATTCGCGATGAGCAACGGCATACCTGCGATGGTCGAGGCACCGCATCACCCGCCCAAAGGTGCCTTCGCCCAAAGTGCTGACAATCTCATCTGCAACACAGCACACAGAGAAGAGGGGCGAAGGGAACGACAGCGGAGGGGGGGGACAGAGAACAGGAGAGTCAGACAAATGGATCTGCGGGGCGGGGGCGCAAATGAACGCATCCTAGAAGCTATCCTGTCGACACAGAGCTGCCGAGACAATCGGGCAGGCTTGAAAACCAATAAGCGATGAGAAATAACACTAGGATACATGAGGGATTAAAAAAATAGAGAGGGCGGGTGTGTGTGTGTGTGTGTGTGTGAGAAATGCCCCTCATCCTTTGATGACCCATTTGCAGCCATCAAAAAGTGGGCAAATCCAACCCCCCCCCCACCCCCAATTTGAAGAATCAAACCAGAAACACGTTTTAACAAATTCAACGTGCAAGTGCATGTGCGCTGGGTGCAAATGCCGAAATGGAAACGGAAATTGGCCCAAGTCCAATTGAAGAAAATATCCGAAACCACTTTGACAACTAGCTAGCTGTTGCAAAGCGCCACCGAAACAATTGCAAGTGAGATTCTATTTTGTGAAACATCAACAGACGCTGCACAGTTTCATTCCCAAACAAACAAAACAAAACAAACAGAAAAAAAAAAAAACGTCGGACATAGCTAAAGTCCCTCACGGAATCTTCGTTCTTGCAATCCGCCCAAATTCAGCTAGAGCAAAGTGCTTTCTAGCACAGGCGTCATCATCATCATCATCATCATCATCAGGCACTCCCATTTAAATGCTCAAAGCTTGAATACTCATGTGGAGAAGGGTTACGATAGAGTAGTGGCAGTGAGTACATCTCTCTTGCAGGACGTCCCCACTCCGACAGATCAGGTGCCCTTCCTCGTCGTCCCTCACACTCAGTGCCCGCGTCCGGCTGTTGCTCCGCTGTTTTCACACCCAAACCGCCAGCAGCAGGTCGCGACACAACCAAGGGGGGAGCGCGTGGGGTTATTCAGGGGGCCAGCCGCGGCGTCGGGCGGCACAGGCAGACGAGGAGGGCGAAGGAGGGCGTTGATGTAGTTGTCGGTGGGGTTGGTGGTCATGGGGGGGGCGATTCGCGCATGACGCCACGTGAAGAAAATAGATAACCATAGGAATATAGTGCAAGGGAACAAGTCAAAGATCACATGATGTCCTCTGCTTCCCCCCCACCCCTCCCCCTCTCTACCTTGAAACCACAGCTGCTTAAAAAAAAAAAAAAAAAAATCAAGTAAGCAACTGGCACATCTATCCATTCAGTCAACGCAAGGACCGAATAAGAAAAGATTACGAATCAGAGTTCGTTAGCTTGCCTTTGTCAGCAGCGTTCACAAAATGCTAAACAATCAGGAGGGGAGCAAATGGAAGCGAGCGGGAAAAGTTAACACCTGCTCCTTTGAAATCGAGATGGCTGGATTAGACACTTGAAGATGCGCTTAAAAAAAAAAAAAAAAAAAAAAATCGATCTGAAATGCTCATGTGCCCAAACATCAAATGTCATTGAATCTGAATAGAGCATTTGCAATTTGGGTGGAACATTTTCACTTTTTTGCCCAACACGCACCAAATGCAACTTGTTGTGGGGTGTCTTGACAGGTGTCTGACCCGCATGAAAAAGCCGAGGAAATGGAAAAGGAACGTATCGGGTCATGACTCAAACTGTCTTGAGCGCCGTTTGCAAAAAAATGAAAATGCTCTCACGTCCCTTTCAACAGAACACACAACAAAATGCTTTTTGGCAGAAGCAAAACAAATCAGAAAGATTGCACTACTTACCCAGTCCAGGGGCTGTGAAGAATCAATGGTTAGAGAAGGAAAGAGGCAGCGAGCGCAAGGGAGAGGGAGAGAGAGAGAGAGGAAAAAAAAACCAACCCCGAAAAAGAGGAAGTGAGAGCGAAAAAGACCCCCTCAGATGTGGCCGTACTCACCGAGGACGATGGGCTATAGGACCTGGTTCTACGCCGCCTTCGTTTGTGCTTACGCCTGCTGCCCTTTCGCCTGTACGAATCAGCCCGCTGCCGTTCCTTTTCTCGGCCCCGTCGGTAGTCGTACATGGTCGGCGAGAACTCGCGGGGATAGTAACTTTCCGCCGCTCCGTGCGGCTCCCTTTCTCTGTCGTGGTCGCGAGCGTCATCTCGGCTCTGATCCAAGCGTCTGTATCCCTCGCAGTATCTTCTGTCAAATGGCCGGTGCTGCTCGGCCGAGCGATTGTCGTAGCTCCGACTGCATCGGGGCGCAGAAAGAGATTTTGCGTGTGATGACCAAGAGACCCACATGTCAAGCGCGGTGTCCATGTTTTGTTTTTTTTTTGGCGGGTGGGTGAGTGTAATGCGCAATGGATGGAACCTGCACCAAATGTCATGTGACGGCCATTGTTCACCGTTCAGAGGGATTTTCTTTGTATCATCGGTCACTCGTACCAGTTTTTTTGACCGAATGTCTTTCTATGAAGGTAGTCAAGCCGTTCAAGCGTAAAGAGAATGACTTGAAATATTTTGGGTTGATTTTAATTGGAGTGCCCCGGCACCAAGTGCTCCAATATGAAGCAATGGACTACCGAGACATTCAAAATCTCTTTCGAACAAAAGGGTGGAGTGAAAGATTTGGATATATTCCTAGCACACTGCAGGAAGGTTTGATTTCAAGCATATAGCATTTTGACGTGGTTTTGAACATTTCATTTTGGTGCTGTCATGTCACGCTCCTGGACCGTACTTTCTCAGACCCACCCAGATACCCAAATGACTCACTTAGTCCGCATCGTACCCCATCGGGGTATTTTCTTTCTGCTACCTTCATCACACGCAGAGAGGCTTTGATGACAAAACACAATTTCTCAGTATAAAGAACTCGGACTCTGGTCTCAAACTTGCAACGTACGGTCCGAGTCTCTCTGTGAATTGGAATGGTTGTGTACATCCACTCCGAAGATGACATCTTTCTGTGATAGCAGCACTGTTTTTGTTGTGACTTTAAAATATTTGTATTTCAAATATTTGCCCCCCCCCTCCAGGGAAAAAAAACCCCAAATAACTAAATAACCAATTTGTTTCTTTCCCAAGTAGAGCCATTGGTATCTCAAAACGTCACTGCCTATGAAAAAAACAAAAAATGGTTTCATATCCTGACTGCTGCTGCTTAAAAAAAAAAAAACTTATTAGGATCGCACCGAGACACAAACACACCTCCTTGGGCGTACATAACTCGCATCGTGTCTCTGTCCCCGTCCCCTTCGGTCCCGATCTCTATCTCTGTCACTGCTCGAAGAGTAAGAGGGTGATCTTCTGTGCCGGTGCCTGCGCCATCTCTCCTTTTCTTTCTCTCTGTAACGACCATTGTAGCTGCTGCGACTGTCTCTCTCCGAGGACGTGTACCGTCTGGTGTGAGGCATCTGGAAGGTTTTTGGAATGACAAACACGTTAGGGGAAGAGCCCGCGGCGCCTCCTACAGAGGCGAGACACTTGGCAACGACATTCCAGTTGAGCAAGCAACTGATTTTCATGTGTTCCCCAAATGCAGCAACAACTAATTTTCATTTAAAAAAACATGTTTGTAACCATGATTTCGGGTTTTGGTGTCGTAGTTTGTCCGAGGTGCAACGTGGAGCCAAACGGCTTGCAAGCCTAAAAGTGGGTGAATGTGAAACGACCCCATGCGCGTTGCGTTGCGAAAAGCATATAAATAGCCTCAATAAAATGCACGATCTCGGTCACGCACAGCGAGAGATTTAGCGATGAAACCTCAACAAAGCAGAACCAAACACATGCATTGGGCCAAGATTAGAAATCGGAACTCAAATTTGGTATTTACACTGTTATGACGAATTCTTTTCCAGCATGCGACGAAATTAGATGCCGCTCCTTGCAAACACCGTCTCGGTTTATTCGACTAGGCCTTTATGGCCATGCAGTATTGCTCGACTGTCATATTTATGAAGTTTTGACCGAAGCAAGCATGAATGTGTAAACCAATGGATAGCAAATCAGACAGCGGCATTTGCTCATGTAAATAATTTGACCGCCATTTTAGCTACGCTGAAGCAGTTAGCACTCGTGCTAACCGTCGGGACTGGATGTGGTTATTCAGCTACACGTTTCAACGCGTACCGTTTTAGCAGCGAGCCCTGTACGCTTGTCCCACAAGAAGTCCGTGGTGCTGGTGTTCGTGTCACATTTATATAGTCATTGGCTCGGTTTCCCAAGCTCCGTTGCGAGTAAATAGCTTGATGTTCGGTGCGCCCAGCTAGTTCCAGCGACGAGTGGAGCAGCTGGTGCGTTCCCTGACACTGGGATAAATTTGTATTTCCCACATAGTAAAAAAGGAAAAAAAATACTTATTGAAGTCGGAATTCCTACAAACCTCAATAGGATGTTAAAACCTGACGTCACGTAATGGTCACACCTTCCCAAAAACGTCAAATCAACATAAGATGTATTTATTCTGCCAGAACGAATTGTTTTTCGTCAGCACAAAGCCGACCATGACTATACTGTAGTTATTTTTTTTCCCCCAATTTCCAAGTAACTTTGAATGCATCTTTGACCGGAACCGGATGTGCCACTTGTTTTCGTACGTTTGAAGAACTTGCGGTCGACGTTTGAGAATGTTTTTAAAACATGAGTAATGTGATTATTTTTTTCTCTTTCAGGTATTGTTTTATTTTATGTATTTACTAAGTTACTTGTGTGTATGGGGCGGTGACACACGCTAACTGCATCTGTGACCCATTCCAGCCTCTTCACACGGTTGTCTTCAGGAGGAGCAACGCGGGTTCTTGCCGTTTAGCCGGCTGGAGTTTTAGAACAACCGGGACACTACTGCTCCCGACATGAATCCATCTAACCCTTTCGGAAGTCCTCGGGGTGGAGTTTTCCAAGCGACGAGCAACGCCAACGCTGGTTTGTTCCAGTCATTTGGACAGCAAGCCCCCAGCAGTCTGCCTCAGAACGTGGGCATGTTTCAATCATCGGCGTTTGGTCTCCCGTCGGCCTCCCAACTGCCCATGTTGGGACAGCGTCCCTCATTCGGACAGCCACCACCCCAAACCTCATCCCTCCCCAGCCACACTCCAGCTTTGAGCCAGACGACGGTGGGAGCAAGCAACTCTGGTTTTGTTAGCCCCGCTGCACCAGCTTTTGGATCTGTTGGTGGACCAAGTCAGACTTCAGCTTTTGGACAGACACCTGCATTTGGACCGCAGTCTGTCTTTAGTCAGGAGCCGAGTTTTGGACAGCCGTCTTCAGGTTTTGGACAAAAGCTGGCAGGATTTGGACAGCAGGCCGCAGGATTCGGAAATACCCAGTCGGTCTCTGGCGCCACCGCTTCATTAGGGCCACCTCGGCAGCTAGGTTTTGGTCAGTCTGTATTTGGACAAGCACCAACGACCGCCACTACCAGTAATGTGTTTGGTGCTACTCAGACCCAGAGTAGAGGATTTGGATCAGAATTCAGTTTCAAGCCAGCCAGTGAAGTCCTTTTCAAACCCATCTACAGCGGCAGCCCCGAACCTCCCAACCCTCAAACCACCCCGCTGTCCGGCTCACCTTTTGGCAGCACCGCAGAGAAGACAAGGTCCAGCCCCGCTGGTCATAGCAGCACCGTCACTGGCTTCTCCGGAGCAAGCTCTGGGTCTCTGGCCTTCAGTTTCTCTCAGCCTGCTGCCGCTCCATCCCTTCCGGTCCCACATGGCCCACGAACAACCCTCAATAACAGCGGCGGGCCCCCTGGCGCTCTGCAGTTCACGTTTTCCCAGCCCGCCGCACCCTCGGGTTCCAACCCCAGTGCGCCTACCACGCAGCCGAAAACGCCATCCACTTTTAGCTTTTCAACCCAAACCCTCCCACCCCAGACGGCGCAGCTTTTCGGAGGAACCGCCGTTGTTCAACCCTCCGCTTTCGCTGACAATAAATCCAAAGCAGAGCCTACCTTGGAGACTAAAACGCCTAAGGACGTGGACGCAAATGTATTTGCGCAACTTCGAAAAGGTACGAAACGTAAAGAAGAGCCCGCAACAACAAACGTGTCCGCTGCTGGGCCCGAAGCTATTGCCAAGGAGGACGAAACAGCAGAAACCTCTTCAGCGAGACAGCCCCCAAAAAGGCCCCTGATGAGGGCTCGCGCCCCTGCGGGGCTATTCAGCAGAGCACTCAGTGGACTCCGGAGAGCTGCGGCCAATCCAGTTGCAAAAGAGGCAGAGGAACCTCTGCAACAGAAACCACAGCCAGATGAAGTGACGAGGGAGCACCCCCAAGTCCTCGGCGAAAAGCTGATTGAGCAGCAAGCCCTGAGCCCTCAGCTACTGGAAAAGGATGAAGAGTCAGGTGAGATTTCAATGCCACAGAAAATGAAAGCTCTAAACTCGGCGTGCTTTGATACTGTGATTTTTGACGACATTGAGCTTGAGCCGCTTTGAGGAACGTGAACCTGACACTGGAACGTCATCGTTGACTTTCAGTTGTGTCTTAGTATATCGTTGACATGAGAGAAAACACTGAAGAGTTTGATAGTTTGTTTGGTTTTTTTTTTGTTTTTTTAGGGTGGGGGGGTTTGCAATGATTACAGTTAATCGTTGAATGTTATTTAACATACAAGTCTGACGTGCCATTTTGGGGGGGAGCTACAACTACACATCAGCTTCATACTACTACTCTTTTGTACTTCATAAAAACAAAATACAGACTTGTTCAATGTTGCCAAAATCGAGGTCTTTATTGAGGTTTCAAATGTTCACAGACTTTAAGTTAATAAAACTCGTTTTCGAGCTTCGCTGCCCCACTCTAATCTACCAGGCAATAATAATATAAAAGGAAGTTAACCGTTCTCAATCGTAGCAGTCAAAAAACAGAGAAACCTGCAGAGCGAGCATTACCGCTTGTGCTTGTGAGACGCTTTTTCAAGATTCTTTTCAAAATTCCACAGTGTTCATAAGGCCATACCTTATCTTATTCTCGATTCACCAGACCCCCAAGAACTGATGGCTGAAACCAAGACTCCATTGAGACCCGGCGCACGTCGCGAGAGCTCGGACGGCCTTAGCGGGATGTCTCCCGCCGACTGCACTGTCATCCAGTGCAAAAATATGCCTCCGGCCCTCAACAAAAGGGACATCATTGAGAAGCATTTTTCGCGCTTTGGCAAAGTCTGCAAGGTCTTCTGTCGGCCTGCGAAGAACACCGCCATCGTGCATTTCAACAACCACGTGAGTTGACTCTTACCCACAGAGCATTTTTTTTTCTTTTTTTTCCCCCTTACGGGTCGAGTGACTTGCCATCTCTCATTGAAATGACCGCAGATGATGATTTGAGTAAGATTAAAAAAAAACCAAACTCATTCCTACTCCTTCTTGAGGTGGAGCTCATCATGATCAGCGTTGATCGTTCATCTCATGAGTGTGTCCGTTTCTTGCAGGCATCCGCAGCCAAGGCAAAGAAGAAAGGGAAAGTCCTGCATCAGCATGAGCTCCTCCTTTTGTGGCAGCGCAAGAAGCAAAGTGCGAGTCAAACCAAGATAACTCCTGTTTTAAAGTCTCACATTTTCTATTTTGTTCTCTTTTCGTTTTGTCCTGAAACTATTTTGTCGATATTTGCGCCGCATCAGGTCCGGGGGATCAAAGCGGAAGACCCGTGGCGAGAAAAATGGTGGAAGAGGCTAAAAACCCGGACCATGCTAATGTCAAGGCTTCATCGCCTCTAAAACGTCCTGTGCTGAGCAGCGCCTTCAGCCGAAGGTAACAGCCAACACAAGAACACCGGTGTTGTTATTACAGCAGTGAGTCAAATGCCCCCGAGTTGCACAATTTTGGATCTTGGGGCCGGGGGCGGAGGGCGGGCACTGCACAGCGACCGAGCACGACCCCTTGCATGATATCACGATTGCCGATACGAGACTTAAATGAAATATGGAATATTTGGAAGTGTCCGTACGCTTACCACCCTGTCTTTCCGCCACTGCTTCGTCGGATCATTTGTGCGTCCGCCAGCTCGCCAGTGAAGAAGTCACCGATAGCCAAGTCTCTCCGACTTGACTCTGAACTTCAAAAGGAGAATGTCACGATGACCCAGAGCTCCAAGTGCCTCGCCCCCCTCATCGGCGTCGTGGCTGAGACATCAGAGGACAAGTACCGTGTCCTGGAGCAGAGGGACAAAATTTTGCGGCAAGGTATGCTGTCCGACTGTCGTTGGCGTCCGTTTGTCCGTTTGTCCGTTTGTGTATGTCGCTTAACCTCAAGCATCACAACCATACTCCCTACTTCTGCCCGCTAGGTCGACCCAAAACTACGGACATCTACACCTCGAAGGTTTTTGTCGGAACGTGTCCTGACATGTGTCCTGAGAAGGAGCGATACATGAGGGAAACGAGAAATCAGCTCAGCATATATGAAGTCCTCCCCGACACAGAGATGGTACCGTTTGCAGGATTCTGTCACGATAGTCTTTTGTTTGCTTTTTTTTTTTTTTGAGGGTGGGTGGGCTACATGTGCCTTCAAAGGATTTGTTGGAAAACCTTTCAGAATCCACATGAGTCAGAATGCTCCCAGAAATTTGGACAAGTAAATGCAATTTGTCAATAATGTGGGCACACAAATGTAATCGAGCCACCCATTTGACAAAACGCGTCGAGGCCAATTAAAGCCTCGCAAAGGAAAATATTCTTTACGAGAATCCAGTCGTCATCACAAGGTTAATCGTTTCTTTCAATGCTATGGTTTGTCTTGACCTTTTTAATGCCGTTTCAAAAGGGCGAATTAGTAGCGTATTTCTCCGATTGGCACACCCAGGTGGATCACGCGGCAGCCATCAAAGAGTACAGCCGTTCATCGGCTGACCAGGAGGAGCCCCTTCCCCATGACCTTCGCCCCTTGCCAGTACTCGGCATGACCATGGACTACCTGGTCACTCAGATCATGGACCAGGGTAATGACGGCTTGCGGGATTGGTACGATTTTGTCTGGAACAGGACCCGCGGCATCCGAAAGGTAGGAATCCGACTCGGATCGGCTGACCGGGCGCCCCCGTCGCCGAGGGGGCGCTCGGAATCTCACGACAACGCGCGTGTGACATGATGTCGCATCTGTTCTGTTCTTGCCGCAGGACATCACCCAGCAGCGTCTGTGCTGCCCGCAAACGGTCGCCCTGATCGAGAAGTGCGCGCGCTTCCACTTACATTGCGCCCACCATCTCTGCGAAGAGCCAATGTCCGTTTTTGACGCAAAGATCAACAACGAGAACTTGACCAAGTGCCTGCAAAGCCTGAAGGAAATGTACCAGGACCTGAAGGACTGTCACGCATACTGCCCCCGTGAGGCCGAGTTCCGCCAGTACAGCGTCCTGCTGAAGCTCAACGACGGGGACATCCTACGGTCAGTGGGCAAAAATCGCCCGCGCGCGCCGGGGCGAAGTTTTCCTTCCGCAGCTGTTTCCATCTTGTCTGTCCAGTGAGGTGCAGCAGTTCCGCCACCAAGTGCGCAACTCCCCCGAAGTGCATTTTGCAGTGCAGGCGTTTGCCGCACTCAACAGCAACAACTTCGTGCGTTTCTTCAAGCTGGTGAAAAGAGCATCCTACCTGGCCAGTTGCCTCCTCCACAGATATTTCAATCAGGTCCGTAACAAAAGGATCATTCTTTTATCCACGCCAGTGCACCAACGCAAATCGAAATGAAAACATTGGCAAATGCCGCGTTCCCTCGAAGCTAGCTCACTTTTTAAGAATTGAAATTGTTGTTTTGAGCAAAACTCGATGCTCGCGTTTCTATTCCTGATTTCATGAACATTTTCTAGTGAGCCGAGCGACGAGCGGAAGGAATTCAACTCAGAAGTCGAGGCGCCGGTGTAAATCCGACATCCTGTTTACCTCTTTGCGCAGGTCAGAGGAAAAGCATTAAAGACCTTGACCTTTGCTCACACTGTGGGTCCGCGGTCAACCGCTTTTCCGCTGGAGGACATCGTTCGGATGTTGATGTTCCGCAGCGCCAAAGAAGCGAGCGCCTTCATCCAGCAGTACGGCCTCAACATCAGCGAGGGGTGAGTGGCGCTGCTTCTCTGCGGCGCTGAAGAAAAGAGACAAGCCTGGCGTGACGTCTTGCGGCGCGGCTTTCTTCTTACTTGGCCAGTGTTTGTCCTCGGTGATCACGTGTCATCGACCGCCGTACTTGACGGATTGTCCCCTTTTTGTTGCCAGTGCGGTCGAGCTGAATCGGATAGCCTATCAGGAACCGGAGTTGCTGTCCCAGAAGAAGTCGGAGGTCATTCAAGCTAAAAAAACATCGTCAACTGGGGAAGTGGTGAATGGAGGCCCCCTCCCTAATCCCCCTCGGCACAAACCCGTCTGCACCTTTGACTCGCACAACAAGTACAGAGGAGAAGGTCCTCTGACTGAGCCCGCAGCCAAGCAATTGAAAGGTGGTCCCACACGAAAGCGCGCCTTCAAAATGTTCACGCATTGACCTCTTGACGTTGCAACCATTGATTCAGAGAGGAAAATTCAAGCTGGGGAAACGATACTCATCGTCCCTTGAAACCTAACCAATCCCTCACCCCTTTTTTAAAAATTATTTATTTAACGCACAATGGAACCTCTAAAGTAAAATGGTTCAGGAACCATGGTTGATTGCCGGTTTGTTTGTTGCATTCGTCAAAAAATATGATACACTTTTTTATTTTCATGCACTGAGCTGCAGTGAACAGATTTGTTCAATTCGTGCATGAATTTCAACAGATTTTCCAATTCTGTTTGTACACAACTTTGAGGCTATTCAACAAGAGCCACTGGATATACTGTCATCTTTTCCCTCCCGGCAACATCTCCTTCTCCATTTTGTCTTTCTTTTTTAAGCTATCGCTGCCACGGTGGAGGTGAAGGCCCCGCCGAGCCTCCAGTTTCAAGCAGAGGTTTCGCCAATTGGGCATCCTGATGTCCCCAATGTTTTTGGCCTGAGACCAGCCGTCGCCGAGAAGACGGAGTCCGGCGATTCCTTTCAAAGTTCGGCCCTCCAAACGGACGCGCCGCAGCTACTCCAGCCTGCAGCGCGGCCTCCGCCTGTCAAAGCACCGTCACCTGAACCGGAACCTCAGCTGGTGTTCAGCGATGCGGTGGGGAATACTGTCCTTTTGTTTTTGCACTTCATCTGTTCACATCTTCGTATAATTGATCACATTCGCTGCAACGTTTCAGGACATTATGGCTGAAGTGGACCGTTTGATTGATGAAATGGTCGAGACAACTGCAAGAGCGGTAGCTGCTGATGGAGCTTGCTATGCCAGCATAGCTCTGAGGTAAATTTGCGTAATCTGTTGTGCAGACTTGCATCTTTGTGCAATTGGACTCCAATTAGCCCCGCCCCCTCCCCTCCTGATAAACCTTTCCACGCTTTATCTGCAGTGAGAGCTGTCTGCAGGCAGAGTCTGTAGTCAATGAAGTTTTAGGAGAATTGCTGCAAGAATTGTCTTCGAGCGAGATCCATCTCGAACAGAAGCGTGTTGCTGACGAGAAACGCAAGATTGAGGAAGCCAGGTTGGTCCAGTTTTGCCTTCCTTCAATCTAATTGAGAGAGACACAGTATTTACTTGCCCGTTGGTCATCGCTCAAAATGCCGATTTGTGCAGTGATGGCGATGCAAACTGAATGGCTGACTCTCTCTCTCTCTCTGCTCCCCCCCAGGCGGAAACAGGAACATGCCAACTTTTTGGCCAAGTTCAGACTCTCGTTGTTCTCAGAGATCCTGCAGCAAGTCTTAGACGAGACGATCAAGGAGACTGCCACCACAGTGCTCCAGTAAGGCTCCATGTACTCCAGATGAAACTCCTTTCATTTGATGATCGTTTGCTAGAATTTGGTGAAGTTGTCATCGGGAGCTCTTACAAAAATTGCACAGCAATTTATGATGATGATGATTTATTTTGTGTGAATAACAACTCTAATTGATCCTCTAATATCATGAACACAGATTCATTTATTGCCTGTGTTTGTTTAAAAAAAAATACATAGGAAGAGGACCTTGGGGAAAAAAAAAAACATTCAACCGTAATTGAAATATTGTTTATTTTTCAAAATCGTTTTCTATCAGATGGTTATTAAGAAGGCAATTGTTGTTTTTATTTCTTTGAATTTTTTTCAGGGAAGCCGTGGACGAGAGAGCACGTTGCGTTGCTAAATGCTCTCAAGAGGTCTGCACGAGTCTCATTGAGGAGACTTTGAAAGCAGACGTTGCCCTGCTGGTGGAAGAAATTCTTGCAGCAGAGCTGCAGCGTGCTCGCAAGTACATCAAAAGGTAAGTAAGGGGCGGAAAAAGGAAAGACAACAAAAAAAATGCTGCAAAAATGCCTTCTTTTGTCTGCGTCCGTGTCCAAACAGGTGGCGCGACGTGGTCGCGGTGCGCCGGCGGCTGAGGAGGCAGATGAGAGGCTTCCCGGCAGCTCCTTGCTTCGTGGACCCTCGCCTGCAATTGAAGGCGCTGGCTCCGAGCGCTCCTGCGCAACAGTCAAGAGAGGATCTGATTTGTGGAATCGTCAACCTGGGAAACGCAGGAAGGTTGTCGCTGTCCAGCACCAGGTCGTCGTCTCTCTTTTTTTTGTGTGTGCCCGTGTGCGTGGACATCCCACCTTTGTCTGGGATCACAAGTTACTGACTCAATCGCTCCCGTCGTCTCTCACCAGGGTGTTGGAAATGAGACACTTGGCTGTCCACCAAATGAGAGTCCAGTACTACTATCGGCAACTTCTTGAGTAAGTTCCGATGTCGCGTCTGCTCGTTCGCTCCAAGCAACCCCCCCGTCTTGCCTTTAGTTATTTCTGTGTGTGTGTCACAGCGAGAAGGTGTGGGCGCCGCTCGACGTGCCAGCGCTTGTGATGGCAAATCTTCACAACCCACCTGATAGAATCTTCTGGAAAGCTGTCGTCTTACTACCCAGCGACCACGAGAGCGTAGCCAGCCTGGCAGACAGGTGAGTGGCCGACAACGGACAACCAGGAAATGATTGCAGCCGGATCTACTCGAGCGCACAAGTAGCCCCTATTTGTCCACACGCTGCCCCGTGTACAGCATAGAGAATTGTGAAAAAAAGAGTTGGATTCGCCAAAGGTGGGCATGTTTTCCCGTCCAGGATTCTGTCGGATTGGCTCGAAGCCAAACTTGCTGGCAGCCGGGGTTCAAAGTTGATGGAGGAACAGCGAGATGGCACTCTGCGAACCCTCCACCTGTCCAACGCAGTCCTGGAGATCAGACATCAAGTCCACGTCAGCATCAAGGTCTGTACATTGAGGAGCGTGTTTTACGCACTTTTATTTGTTGGAGGGCCGCCGACAGAAAAACGGAAGGAATGAAAGGGCCAACTGAAAATGCGTCCACTTTTTGCAACTCGCTAAAGTCAGTCAAGAAAGCAATTCTACATCGTTTGGTCACGCGGCACGAGACGGCGCGCTCGCTTGCCTCCATCAGCTTTCGTTGGATTGTTGAGTATGTCTGACAGAGTCGTGTTTGTTGAGAATATTGACTGTGGCGCTGTATGCCGCGTGCTCCAGGTGTCCAGAGGTCCGCTGACCAATGACGCTTTGTCCCAAATGGAGGAGCGCCGTGAGCTGCAGGGGACGGCGGCGCTGATCATGCTGCTTCCCGCGCTGCCCTTTTCGGAGGCCAGCGGCGACGAGCGCGACGTCCCTCTGCTCTCGGCCTTGCTTCAGCTCAAGCAGTTGCAACAAGCCAGCGCCTGGCACTGCCCGCCGCCTCTGGTTGTCCTGGTGCCGGGGCCTGACCGCGACAGCCGCAACACTCAAAAACTTGAGGAAGGTACGACTGAGTCACATTTGTGTCCCAACAGGGTTCGTGGGCCAAAAAAAACCCCAAAAAAGTCTCATTTGTCTGTGTTTCTGGGGGCCTTGCAGAACTGATGTTGCCTTTGCTGGTAAAGGATGGCCTCATCGCAGAGTACACGCTGCTGTTCATACCCGAAACCACCAACGACATGCAGGGATCCAAACAGGTAAAACTTTGATCCAAACTCGTATCAACACTAAAAAACCAGGCGCAAATGTTCACTTGTGCATATTTTCTTCAATACTTGCCCCCCCCGGCTGTGTTTGTAGCTCGGCTGCGCTATGCGTTGGCTCCTGCGCCGCGCTCCTCCACCCGTCCCGCTTAGCTGCCGCCCGCTGGCCCAGCTTGTCGAGGCCAGCTTGAGTCGCGAGTTCAGTCGCAGGGTTTGCGCTCAGCGCCAGGAGAGCGGCGCTGACGCCCTCCCGTCGCGGGATCCCTCTCCGATCGTCAGGCTGTACAACGCCGTCATCAGCCACGTTGCCGATCAAGTGTCGTCGGAAGAGCTCTCCAAAATCTCCTGGCCGCCCGCAGAGTTTTGTCTTCCCGATAATGGCGCGTTTGTTCCGCGTCTGGGCTGGAACACTGGCCCGCACCTGGCCTGGTTGCATGAAACCGTCCTCAACTTGCGCCTCCCGCAATGGAAGCAACTTTCCAGCTCAGGTCAGTGTGCAAAGTCCCCCCCAACATCAAGCAGTAACTTTATCTGTATTAGGAGAAACCGTCAATAATTCATTTAGTCGTGAACTTATTAACACTTGGACTTGCAGCCTCTTCAGTGTCCACTCGGACAACTTGAGCCACAAACAGGTGTGGCGTGACAATCCCGAATCAGTAATCATCTCAACAGACATTTGTAGCACAACAAGACCGCCTCTCAAGCAGATAATGTTGCGCACGTGCCATGTGACGTGAATTCCTCAATATTTTCTTTTGTTTTTTTTTAAACTCGTTTTTCCTGCAGACACCTGGTCCGAGCTGTGCTCGGCCATCTACGGCTACGCCGATCAGATCCAAGTGTCGCGTGGCAGCCGGGCCCTCCTCGTGTCACGTCTGGAAAATCTACTGGAGCGGGTCAGGATCAAAGGCCACCGCGGGCAAACTCGGGCTTCCAAGCTAAGCTTGAACGTCTGGGATGATCCACGTGACGCACGTCCGGCTTGGAACGAGATCCCTTGGTTTGACGTGCTCGTCATCTGCATTGACCACAAACTGAAAGACTGGCCGCTTCCCGGACCGCCGGTCTGTGAAGGTGGGACTGCGGCACTCTCTGTCGTTTTGCCCCCGTTGTCCCTGACGACAAGTCACCGTGACGCGCAGTTTATGTATCTCGAAAAGATGCTGTGACAGAAGATGGGGAAATCCTGGTTTACTATCTCAACGAGGCCTTCGAGCGCTTCCAACCGCCCGAGGAGTGGATCGAGGCCGTCAGCACGACACGCGGGCAGAAGCGGCGAGATGACAAAGGGTACAAAAGTTCTCGAAAGCCTTTTTTTGCACTGCTTTCACACTGCTCGACAGACAGCGATGACACTTTTAAATTGGTCAAAAGCAAGTAAGGTGAACTATTTGACTGCGCCGCCGACACTATGCGGATGGTCAACGTTTTGTTTTTTGTCTTCGTCCTCTGTGCCGCCATCACTCAAACCTGCCCCCCCTGGCTTTCTCATCCCCCTCTCAAAGGACAAATTTGGCTACCTGCGCCACCCCCAACAACCTGACAATCAGGCAGCGATTGTTCCCGAGCGCGCCGGAGGCCCCTCTGGACATCTCCGACACCCCCACCGCAGTCGAGGTGCTCGCCCACAAAGTGTTCCTGACTTTAGAGGAGGAGAAGGCCGAAAGCCGAAGGTACTTGCTTTAGTACTACAGGTAGAAAAGATTCTTTTCAGGCAGACAGCTTACCTCAGTTCATCACGGGAGACCCCGAAGCGAGGTCAACTTAGGAGCACAGCTGTTTGGATACATGCTTTGTGGAAGCACAATTCAGCACACTTTTTTTTTCCCGTAATTTGACATATGAATTGTCCCCGGGCATCTTTTGCAGGAGCACACAGCAGCTCCGGCGTTGGCTCGACGGTGGCGACTGTGTGGGCAAATGGTCCACGCCACTCCTCATCCCGTCCTCCGTCCTGCTCTCCATGCCCGCTTTTCTCGAGCGCCGGGCCTCAACCAAGCCTTTGGACGCCGTTTTCGCAAAGGTGTGACATCTTATCCTTTCTGACAAATTGCCGGTGACACTCATTTTCCCGCAGCTGCGCCTGAGGCCCGCCCGCACCAAAGCGAGCACAGGCCAGTTGGTGACTCTCATCCGCACACCCGACAGTTGACCCCGACTCACAATTCAGGACCCTTGTTTTGATTCCAGGAAGCACAGAGCCCGCAGCCCGCAGAGAAGGACAAGCGGTCCCCGAGGAGTCGTTTGTCACTGACTGAGCGACTGAGGGACCTCCAGCAGCAGATCGAAGCCAGCCAAAAGGAAGAATCGGCCTGCAAACTGAAATTGAGTGCAATGATGAGCATTGTTGAAGACTGAACCAACTTGTGGTGCGACCAAAAGCACACCCTTTTCGAACAACTGGACTTGCATCGGTGTCATTATTGTTTGAATTGTGACAACCTTTTCTTTGACACTTGTAGGTTTTAAGCCAAGATTAAATGAATTTGACGCCACACCTGTTTTCATTGGAACGCGCCGGCGCTGCCCCCGAGTTACCCATCATATCTTGCCGTGTTCATCTCGAAATATGCCACCTGGTGTAGCTGGCGCCAGTGTTGGGTCGATTGGTTGCCATGACAACAAAAGTGTAATTTATTTGGGCTTGTTGTTTTGTGCAACTGCGCATGCTCGGTATCTGCCCTGCTTTCGATAACCTCGTATGGCTGTGAGAAAACCAAACTGAACGTGATGTGTGATGCGCAAAGTCATACTCGCTAGTCACTAGTCCGTGTTAAACTAAATGACCTGGACACGTGCATTGACGGTTTAACCAAATCAAACTGACAAGACACAGAAATGGAAAAAAAAACTCTTTTATTTGGTTTGAGGCATGTGGGAAGAGGAGAAATACAAATCCAGACATTCAAAGCAGTGTGCGGACAAAACGGAGACCAAGCTGCACAGGAGGAATTCAACAAAAGATGTGTGTGTGTGTGTATTTTTTTTCTCGTGGGTTGTATTTGGGTATTCAATGTATTAAAAAATAGTAACTTTTCTAACTTCTGGTCATGGTGTTGAATCCTGCATTGACGCTTCAAATAAATAAATAAATAACACGAGTCTGTTCTCAATTGGTATGATGTCATGAAAGTAAACACTGTCTCTCTTTCTCTCTCTATATATGTATGTATATGTGTGTGTGTGTGGCAATGAAATGAACATGAATGCAATAGGTGACACACATCTTCAAATAGTGTGCCAATTGTGAGCTAAGACCGGGTGGTGATGTGGTGTTGCGGGGCGTTGATGGCGAAAATAACAAAAATAACTCCAAATCACAGCTTGGCCTCGGTTCTGGTCTCTCCCTTCAGACCTTTTCCTTATTCTGGTCCAAGACATCTGTGTGACAACAGGTTAAAGCTTTTTCTGAAATCTTCCCCAGACAGCTTCGAGAACAAGGAAACCCTTTGAATTATTAAAGCATCGTTGGTACTATAGCAGCCTATTTCTACTTCCTATGGCATTTATTTCCCCTTCTACTAGTAGATGATTCTTTCAGAACAGAAGGTGAGTTTGGCTACCAGCAATCAATCACCTTAGTCTCTGGAAAACTCACCTTGCTCAAAAAGCACGAGAGAGAATCATCTCAAATTATCATGTGTATCAAATCTAATAACCAGAACAACAATAAAAGAAAAGAAACGTTCAGAAAATATCAACATTTGTTTTGGCACCGTTTCCTCTTCAACAAGGAGGACGAAAAAAAACAATATGAATTAAAGACAGTTGAAACGGAAGCTGTAAATGCCTTCCGATTTTACAAAACTATCCTGACCACTACAGACTTCCCACTACAAAAACACATCTTCGATTTCACTTTTTTTTGGCATCATGTGAGTTTAACAGCTCTCAATCAAGTACGTTCGAAGAGAGACAAGGTGAAAAAAGTCCCTATCATTAGAAACTGACCTTGAACACTAATGGGGGGAATAAGAAACACTTGCAGGGAAGTAGCAGATTGAGACAACTCCATTCGGTCCATCTGAAGTCATGTTTTGCAGTCACCTTTTTTTAGTGAATAGAATAAGGCAAGCCAGTTTCAGCATTAATAGAGGTCCTTATCTGATCGAAAACAAATCCCCGATACCCTAAAATAGAAACATTGACTCATGACAAGAAGAACGGTGTCCCATTGCTACGGTAACCGATTGTGAGTTGGTTTATTTCCCCAATTTGCAGCAATATCGGACCCTTCTTTTTGACTTCCTGTTAGCCGGAAGTCGTACTCTGAAGGAATACGGAAAGGGGAAAACGGCTGATAGACGGAGGCTTGATAGTGCATGACGAGACGATTCTGAAAAGGTAAAACTCACACACGACAAAATTAAGTTTAAAGACATTTAGCCCGCTTGGAAGTGGTAACGAGGCGAATGTCTGTGTTTATCCGTCTATAAAATTGTTTGTGAATAATTAATCGCACTTTAAATGTATATTGTATGGGGGTAAGCGTGACTTATGACGTCAGTTGGTTTGATTTTCGAGCCAAAAGGAAGTCAAAGGCAACTTCAGACCGCCAGTAAAGCTTCATTATTTGAACCGACGGTACAGGAACAAAAAATGGTGGCCATCAAGGTTGGTGAAACATCGGGGCCAAATACCTCAAGAACTCGAGTGTCCTTGAATTGTGACCACTCGGGTTCACGATCTATCCACTGCAGAAAAACAGTCATTTATTCGAAGGAGGTGTCAATTTATGAGGGGGGAGTAAATGTGGTTGTTCTTGTTGTTTGAACGTAGCTTTCTTGTTTTTTCTGAATTCTTCAGATGGACTCTGCGGATGCTCAACGCCTCAGCCCCCAAGTGTGTCCTGCTGTTGTTCCCACAAATATTTTGTCACACACAACAAGCATGTTTCTGTGCTTTGGCTGTGAGGAAGTGTCAAGGTAAAGGCTATGCGTGTTAAAAATCTAGAGGTATATTTGGTTACATATATCTTCGAGGCATCTAACTATTTGGTAGGAAATTCTGACTATCCTTTATAGCATTGACATTTTCCAAAATATCTGACATTTGTTTTGACGACAAAAAGAAAAAAAAAAATTAAAAATAGCTCCACATTGCAGGCATGCCCAAGCAAGGACTTCCCTGACATTGGTCACATCATGACGTTTGTTTTGACGACAAAAAGAAAAAAGAAAAATAACTCCACATTGCAGGCATGCCCAAGCAAGGACTTCCAAATGACAGAATGTGGGGGAAAAAATGGTAGAAATTATGAGCAATTACTTTTTTTTTCTTTTTTTTTTGGGCTTGGCTTCAGTTAAAGCAAGGCAGGTGACCCATTTCCAGGAACAATCCAAAATAAAAAAGTAAAAAAAGAAAGAAAACCATCAAAACGTTAATGTCTTTGGGTGTCAGTTAGCTTGGTTTTCATAGAAGAACTTTTTGGGGACAGGCTGACACGGTGAGACTCCAAAGCCTAATCCGTGCATTCAGGCATCAGGTCTCACCTTCCAACTTCTTCAGCCACCAGTTCGGTACCATCGAGGGCCCCGGAGTGACCAAATTTGGCATCTGGAGAGCAAACTCAGCAGCGTGGCCTGGAACAGTCATTCTGCGTCCATTTGTCTGGGGTCGGTGCATAAGCATCCTCCAATTTGGGTTCTTTGAAACGATCTGGAGAGGTCTCAGGAAGGGTCAAATTGCAGTTTTGGAGATGGAAAAGATCAGGCTCTTCCGCCGTGGTTTCTCTCCATAGTAGTCGACCCACCGAGCTCTCTCTGGACCGGCCTGGTCGGCACCTGGCACGGCGCACTGGCATTGGCACTGGTCAAACACAAACTGAACCAAAGGGGATTTTTGTTTCGTTTTTTTCCCCCCTGGGGTGAGGTAGGTTGGCACAGGCAACATTAACCAGTTAATGTTGATCTCAACTATGGCTCAGACATTCTGAGGTAGCTTTCTTTGGAGTTGTGCAACTTTTAAGGGTTTATTTGTTTTTCCAAAAAATGGCTTCTGGTACAGTGAGAGGCCACCATCGCTGATGATGCCGCTCTCACCTCGCGAAGGCTTTCGCAAAGGCCGCTATGTTTCTTCCCTTCTTATTGCAGACGAACTGAAGGCGATGTCACGAGTTCTGTCACAACAGCGCTCATTTGGACAGTAGGTTACGTGTTCATATTTGGCTTCATTTTTAAAAAAAATTTTCTTGGGGGTGGGGGTGCACGTTCACACGCCAGCGTGGCAGGTGAGATCTGAGAAATAGGAAACGTTTTGGTTATCAAACAGTCTCCCACAAGCAAGCTGGCGTGACATTCGCCATGTACGCGCATTTAGAAGCTGACGGGGCCAAATCTGCAGTGACAATGCTCTGTAAAGGCTTTTTTTTTTCTCAACATGCACTTATGCTTGTGCACAGGCAATAAAGGTATATAAGATGCTTTGGTTTGACAATGAGGAAAGGACATTTGGAGGAGGGCAAAGACTGTCAGTATGTTACATTTCACATACTATGTCACATTTTTGGATGCTCGGGAATGAGGAGCACATTTTGTGTTCCTTAGCTTGGTTGCAAATAACCGGAGAGAAGTGATGATGGGGGGGGGGGGGGGGGGGGGGGGTGTTGTTGGGGTGTTTGACCAGTGCTAGCCTGTAGAAGTGCCAGGAAGACCCGATGAGTGTTGCTCAATGACGACTTGGCACTGTGCCGGACAAAGCGCTTCCTGTTGAGAGTCAGGAGAAGCAAGAAATAGGACACGTTAAGCACCTGGTGGGAGTTTCCCTGGGCCTGAGGGTGGAATCGCTGCACTTTTGCATTTCTACTCATATCATGGATACGTGTTGTCCCGGCCCTCCACCCATTTATCAGCCGCCTGCGCCATGACGAGAAAAAAAAAAAAAGACATAACATCGGACATGGGCCCCAAGATTAGCTGAAAAGGTGAAGGTGGGCAGAGTGAGAAGGGAGGCCTGGACTGTCGAACTTTGCGCTAGCTTCCAAGATGCAAATGAATGCTACAGAGCACAATTGATGTTCAAAACACCATCGGGAAGAAAGAGCGTTCCATTTGTGAGGCCAAAATAGTTTCCTCCCTTTGGTGCAGATTTGCAGCTCTCGTTCTGCTTGATCTTGGACCTACCTGAGGCACCGGCTGCATCCTGCCACCGTTTGTCGCCTCCTTGTGGACACCGTTGTGTCCCGCGTTGTCACTTGGGACGGACCAACTGTCCTGAGTCCCTTGACCGCAAAACAAACTGCAAACACGTTTTAGGAAGGAATACAGATCTGCAGGCCTGCGTGCAGCACCACTGTGAAAACATTCATCGCAATCTCACAGATTACCTGCGTCGATATCCAAACACGAGGAAGATGACGCAGAAGATGATGCAGGCGGTGCCGATGTGGATGCCAATAACGATGCTGCCCAGAGAGGCTTCTCCGTCCCGGCACTGACACGGCGCGTTCTCACCTGCGGGTCAAATTTCATCATCATCGATATTGGCTGGCTCCCAATCTTAAGCCAATCGTCCCGAGCTTGGGTCTTGAACTGGACAGTGATTTGAAATTGGACCGGCAAATTGCTGCCGCTGTCCTTTCTCCGCCGAGCACTTTGAAGCGGTCCTTCACGCCTTCGTCACCTCTCGACCGGATGACCGTCATGCCAATCCTCCCTCCAGTGGGTCCAGAATGCCGCCGCTCGCCTCTCGACTGGGACTCGTGAGAGGCGGCGCTTACAGTCGCTCCTACTCTGGCGTCCCTTCACTGGCTCACTTTTGAGTTCTTTGGAAGAAGATCCTATCATAGTTGTTGCCCAATCTGGATATGGCCTGGCCCCACCGTACCCTTGGAGCTCCTCCGCACCTGCCCGAGGCCTCGGGGGTCTGCGGACCAGACCCTCAGAGAGGTGGCGAGAACTAAGCTCAGAGGGGACGGACCCTTTTCCGTGACCGCTCCCTCTCTTTGGAATGACCTCTCGTCTTCGAAAAACCTCATTGGGAGTCTTTGCGTGAGACTCGATGGTTACTTTGAGCGTTTTTTTGCGCTTTCTCCCGTCTTCCTCACTCATTTATAGTTTGTTGTTGTATGAATTCATTTTTGCGCCACGTGCAGCACTTTGCAGACGGCGGCGGTCGTTTTCAAGTGCTCGAGCAATACGGCTGAGTTGAGAATATTCCCCGAGTGAATTGCATTTCAGATCTGACAATGAAAGGGGCTGCGTCCTCTCTCGACGCGTTTGTGTTACATTTGGTTGTAAACGTAAATGGAAGTAAGAAATGTTTGTTCCAGTCCCATTTGAAATGTCGTACGAGTGTCAACAAAAGCGGAGAGAAGGAAACAGGAGAGATTTCTGTGAACGTGCTTTGACATTCCTCAAGCCCCAAACCAGGCCAAGCGGCCATCCTTTGCGGCGGCGGGAAGTGGTGGGATGCAGCTCACCGGTGTTTTGGGCACTGGTGCCTTCTTCTGCCAACGATACCAGTCTCTTGGAGCAGTCACTCTCCCCGTTTCCATTGTAGGCCACCAGTTTGACTTCGTACACGGCACCCGGTTCTAAAAGAGAGAGGGGAAGAGAGTGTGCGCTCAAATGCAGTACGTTCAATCCATTGGTTTTCGAATCTACTTCTCCCTTCATGAGAATCCTGCAAAATGGTTCTCAGTGAGTAGTGACAACAATTCCGTTTTTTGGGGGATGGGGTGATAAGTCAAAGTCAGGCTTTGCTTTGGGAAAACAGTAAAACGCACGAATGGAGCTGCTTCCCAATTCCTCCTTCACCAAGACGGTAACACTTGATGCGCTGATGGATGACAAAGTGCGTATCTGTCACGCCAATTGGAAGGAAGACAAACGCTTTGTAAAGACGATACCAATGTGAACCGTTTGGAAAGGAGCCAAGGTTGCGCACGTCTTCTGGTTGTCATGGTGGTGAACACGCAGGAGAAAGTAAAGGAGAAGGAATCGTCGTGAGCCGCAGACACGCGAGCCGACGCAGCGCAAGAATCCAAATTCATCCTTGTCAACTGGTGAAGATTGGATCGGGCAGACGCCTACCCAGATCGGAGAGCACGTGGGCATTGACGTGACAGGGCAGCTGAACGGGCCCCCGGAAATCAGCATTGGGGACCCTGCGGTAGGACAGCCTGAAGCCCTCGGCCTTGCCTGCCTTGCTCGGGAGCTCCCACAGTACCTGGAGAGCGCTGGAATTCACCACCTTGGTGAAGAACGTCGGCGGGGTCGGTACTGGGCGGGGAGGGCGACACAGAGACAGACACAAGTGAATAAATACAAGGGGACTGAACTGGAAGAGAGAGAAGGGGGCGGGGGTGATGAAACACATGAAAAGGACAGCATTTTTTTTCTCAGTTGATTTATCGAGTCTGAACCAACCGTCTCCAACGTGGGTCTTCAACCGGACGTGATTTGAAACTGGACCGGCGAATTGGTGCCGTTGTTTAGGCAGCTGGCTAAAGTAAAATTTCTCCTTTGTCCGGTGAGCACTGAGAGCTACAGCCATTCATGGCTTCATCACCTCTCGGCCCAATGACTGCCACGCGCTTGACTTTGGAGTCAGCCAGTCTTCCACGAAGCGTCTCCAGTGGGTCCAGAATGCCGCCGCTCGCCTCCCGACCGGTACTCGTGAGAGGGAGCCCGGTCACTCCTACTCTGGCACTCCCTCTACATTTGAGAGTTCTCTTGAAAAGACCTTTGAGATTTGTTTTCCAATCTCTCAATGGCCTGGCCCCGCCTGACCTCTCGGAGCTCCGGTGCCTCAGGTTTGGGGACCGGACACCATTAGAGGTGGCGGGAATGACGCGGAGGCTCCTGTGGCCGCTCCCTCTCTTTGGAATGAACGTTCGTCCAGCCATTTACGATTGTGTGGGGCTACGAAAGGTTATCTGCACTTGAAACGGATTTGACGTGGGTATGTGGTCGAATCTATCTTATATTCATAGGCGGGAGGGACATTTGAAGTCACTTGAGAGATCAGCGCATTGCTCAAGGGCAGTGACGATGCTGCGGGAAGCAAAGCTGCTGCCAATGTTCATGATGGACATGCCTCAGTGTTTTTCATTTTGGGCCAAAGACACTTTTTCCAAACGCCCCACTTCATATGCTTCTTCAAAGAAATACGCTACTAAAGTGTTCTTACCGCCACCGAGTGTTGTTGCGACCACCGTGCCAGACTGCTGACTTGCCCCAAGTGGCGAATAGGCCTTCAGATAAAGAGAGTAGGTGGTGGCCGGCTCCAGGTTGTTGACGTCGTGCCGAAAGGCCCCTTTGCTGATGGCTTCCTGTAGCTCCAAAGAATCCGGCTCTGAAACCGCACACGCAGCAACAGCAACAGCGTTTGGGTTTGAAATGCGAGCGAGTATCAGTGAAGCGTGGTGGGATTTTGCAGCGACGCAGACCTCCTATTTTGCGGATATGCAGCACGTAACCGATGATGGCGTCCGTGACTTCGGCGGGCGGCTGGCTCCACGCCATTTGCAGAGCGCTCGTGGACAGCACGCTGGCCGTGAGGCCCTGGGGAGCGGCGGGTAGGTCTTTCGCTTGCGCCACAGCGAGTCGGGCGCTGGCCTGGTTGCTGCCGGCGCTGTTCTCCGCGATGCACTGGTAGATGGCCTCGTCCTCGGAGCTGATACGAGTCAGAGCCAGAGTGCTGCAGACATGACACACAGCCTGATCAGTTTCCCGACGGTCACGCATGACGGCAAACGTGAGAGAAGAACATGCGGCTGGAGAGTGACACACTCAGTGCCCTCCCACACGATCAGAATTAGCAGTTCATTTATTTCCCTCCTCTTCAAGGTACAAATTCAGTCCTTCGACTGGGAAAGATACATTTTCGGTCCCTTCATGTCAAGGGCACCAAACCAAAAAGATGCATGAGCCATGAAGTCCTCACTTGGACAAACTTGCGTTAGTTGTGCACGGCTGCCACCGTGTGGCGTCAAGTTAAAATGGGAAACTTGCTTTGAAGCAAAACACACCTGACCACATGTTGAACGCGTCACATTAGAAGTTGGTGTCGTCTACCTGTTGTTATTGGTCAACTTGACGTTGTGTCCAGGCATTAAAACCTTTCCGTTTTTCAGCCAGATGAGGTGAGGCTCGGGAACACCCTGTGCCACGCAAGTGAACACGGCACTGCCCCCTGCTGGCTTGGAGACAGACTGCGGCCACTGAAGGAATTCTGGAGGCGCTGTCAAGGTTCGGGAACAAATGCATTTTAAAAATTGTCACAGAAAATAAGAATAACGTACATATTTTACGTTAAGATCAAGAAAGAAACCAATTCAATTTCAATTATACATGAAGCGCCCATGGAATTAAAAAAAAAAAGCCATTGTCAAACGCTCTTGTCTTTTTGTTTCGTATTGTTTTCTTTTCCTACCTGAAGTAGAACATGCATCTGGCTAAATTCTAGAGCTACATAACTGGATCTATTCTGACAACTTGGTTTCAGGGTATACCACTGCTTAGTGTGTCCGCGTTACACTTTTGAGGCTCAGGGTTCAAATCTAGGCTCTGGCTTTCCTGTACTTTTTTTCCCAGAATTTTGGGTTGTGTGTGTGTGTGTGTGTGTGTGTGTGTGTGTGTGTGTGTGTGTGTGT